AAGCTTTTCGCCAGACACTAATCATAGCAGAACCGTCTGGAAAATGATCTATAAGATCTTTCAAGATCTACCTATCTACATGTGCCGATGTTTCCGTTTATCAACGTTATATTTTGAGATCTTTGCAAGAACTCAGCTAACAGATGTTTCCGCATATAAAAGCTATCTTCAAGTTTTGTACACCAAAAAACTTTTCAAGTAATATTTATTGTTTATCTATTATTGGCTAGTTATGCCTGTTTCATACTGTATATATACACTTTAATTAGGAACATCAAAATTGTGTAAGAAAGCAATCTTCTAGGGGTAACGATAACATCGTTTATACTAGTATTATTATTAGTTTTTAATTAGTAATTATTAGTTTTTAATTAGTACTAGTTAATAATACTTATAAAAGTAGATACACCGTTTGAAATTATGCCATCTCAGTGCAATTAGTTGACACCATTGTTTTGGTTTTTGAGTTATGTAATTAGAATGAAGCAGAAGAAAGAAAAAAAAGAAACTCTTTCTTTTTGCTATGATATTTACAGACGGTTCCAGAACTTGCGATTCAGTCATCACATAGATACTGTTATAAAAGGAAATACTGTATAGTATTGTAAAATTCTGATGAACTATTGCCTGCCTGATAATTTGGCGTTAACTAGACTTACTGGCAGTATTATGACATTATTTCTGTACTAACTCTTGGACATAACCTCGAATATATTTATGAAATCAAACACGACTTTAATTATGTAATCAGATTACGTTTAATTTTTTCAGAAGCTTGTACTCGCTTGGCTAAGCGTCTGTATTGTCTCTTCCCTAAAATGTGGATACCCAAGTGAAGGGGCAATGGTGCAAAGATTTGCACAGACAGTTAATCTTTCCTAAGTATACCTGTAGCAAAATCGATCACTCATGTAGGTAACCTAAGATTGTGGGATACCACCTTAGGATTCTGGTCTGATCAAAAATATGGCATTTCATAAAATCATTTTTCATTACTTTTTCGACAACCAGAATTTCAAGATGACATCCAAACTAGTCAGCTGCAAATAAGTTCCAGGAATTGTGAACTGGGGCAAATTTTGATGTACATTATCAAATAGTCAATAAAGATTGTTTTGTGTTGTTTGACAACTGTGGTTGTTTTGCACTTCTTGCTGTTCTTGATCATTTTATTCTTCTTAGAGTAAATATTTATTAATCTCTCACATTTGCTGTCTTTTAGCTTACAGGTGCAAATTTTAATTACTACATATTAATTAACAAAGAAACAGTTTTGGTAACTAAAGATTTTTATACAGTATATTTTGAGCGTGCCTCTTTGTTTGGCTTGACTCTGTTTGCTGTTATTTTAGTAAATCGTGATTATTAAGAACTATTTCTTAACCTTCACATTACCGATTTGTTTTTATGTCGCACACCACTGGTGGGATACACATATTGAGTAATTTTATGTTCTAATATGTTATAACACTCATTGTAAAGAAATGACCAATAAAATGAGTGAAACTGTTCCTTTTTATGTAAAATTAATTGATTAATTACAATATTGATGAATATTTTTGTTTTAATTTTATGTGTGTTACTGGGGGTTCCATAACTGACAAAATTATGGACCCACAAGCAAATTGGTGCATAAAGAGGTTATAAAGATGTATTTAAAAAGCTGGTTAAGTCATTTCATTAGTATAAACCCATGTTTAACTTACGGCTGTGAGCAGTACGCTACAGACGAAGTTAGATTACAGCATGAGTTATACTTTTGTTTAACTACTGAAAACGATGTTTTTCTTCCGAAAACAAATATGTTACCAATAATCAGTTTTAAGAACTAAAGTAAGCGTGAACTGACTGCGACATCTATCACCAATAAAGCTCACTCATACACTTTACGATACAAGTCAGTGATACACTTGGTTTAAGAATTGCATCTCCACTTTGCGATTATTTACAAAAAATCTTATAATATGTAGTATTCTATACATACATCATGTTCATTTGTAAATGTTTTGCGTATTCTATAACTTTACGAACGGGTTTCATCGGTAATCTTTTTCATTGACATATAAAGCCTGTTATTTTAAATTCGCGAATTATCAACCAAGTGGTTTTTACATATTCACATTTTCATAATTAAAGCCACAAACTTATCAGTTTTAACATAATATTATTCTGATTATTAAGAAAGTCACAAGCTTCTGATTTTTGCATAGTTGGGATTAAGAAAGTTGCAGAATTCCATTATTTTGTATAATATTTTTACAGAATACTCATGTAATAGACGTACAAATACATAGTTTAAACTTTTTGTTTTCTTAAAAAAATGTTTGAACTAAATCAAGTCGGTTTTGTAGATTGTAATAAATCTGAACAAAATCAAAAATGTATATATCCTCTTTCATCTTTTTGCCCAAAAAATACATGATTCATTTAACAAATCTTTCTAGGTGGAGAGTATATGGGGCTTAATATGGAGTCTTTGGGCTGTGTTGTTGTTGGAGAATCCTCAATCGTTTATCAACGGTAAAAACAATACCGTGGAAATCATAGCCGAATCTTTCAAGAAACTCTTATCACAGGAAGATGGTAAGAACCAGTTTTCGTCCCTGTGCATGGTACAAAGTACACAGATACTGTAAGAACTATCATTATCAAACTTAAAACACTATATGTAATAGTATGATTCAGTATGACTTTACCGATTTTTGTGAGTTGAAAACAAGAACTGAAAGCAAAAACTAATCACAAAGTTTCGTGGACATTAAACATTTGTTCAAAAAGAATAAAAATTTTTAAACTTGTATTAGACTGAGTATTTAAGTGTGAGAATACTAGAAGAAGCCCACGATAACACAACAGCCAACTTTTATTTCCCAGTAAGAAGAGTTGTGAGTTCGAGTCCCGTAGGTTTCAATTTTCATTTATTCTGAACAATTTCCAACTTCATTGGAAGAAACCACACTTAAAATTTCTGTAGTAAAATCTTTATAGGCTTTTTTTTGGCGATCTGAAACCACACTTAAAATTTCTGTAGTAAAATCCTTATATGCCTTTTTTAGCGATCTGAAACCACACTTAAAATTTCTGAAGTGAAATTTCTATAGGCCTTTTTTGGCGATCTGGATTTCGCATGGAAATAGAATCGAAGCATTGATTTAATCGTTTACATGTACGACTGAATAGGCTGTAGAAAGCCATACTGAAATAAAATTAGCTCATGTAAGTTAAACACACATAATTTTCACATTTAAAAGAAAGAGAGCGATACACAACAACAGCATCCTCTATTTTGGATGTCGTTATATTTTTTTTAATTCCTAGCAACTAGGTTAAAAACAAATACCGCTGTACATAAGAAGCACAAAAATAATACAACTGTATTGTTAGAATGGTAAAATGTAACATATAAAAAGTTATTATAATACACCACTGATCAGACTTAATCTCTTTCCGCAAGCCTCATGGGCAAAGCGCGGCCTAGTGGTTAGTTCCTGTTGTCGTTTCTTTAGCGAAAAATCTACACGCTGGGCTATCTGCACTTTGTCTACCGCGGGGAATCGAACCCCGCATTGTAACATTGTCAGTTCGTAAACTTACCGCTGACTTATCGGGGGGACCCTGTGGCTAGTATTCTGGACTGTGGATCTGGACTGTATTTCGCGCCTTGTTACATCAAAATAAATAAACGAAAATTGTACTCCGCAGTTAGGGGCCGTGGGTGCGATAAAATAGTAACGGTCAAATCCAATTACCTGACTGGATTTGCACAACTGCCGGTAGGTCGTTTGACTAGCTAGCTACCTTTTCTTTAGTCTATTATTTTAAAATTAGGGACAGTTAATGCTGATAGCCCTCGAGTAGCTTTGCGCGAAATTTAACAAAGACACAAACCTCATACGTCAGATTAAAATCAAACTAAACAATGTAACTTAAAACTTGGATTTTTTAAAGTAAAAGGTAATTCTTTATTTCACATTATTTATTATTTTACTGGCCTAAATAATTTGTTCTTAAGAATAACCAGGGAAATTACAAAACCGGTAAAATAAAATTATGAAGCATTATACAAATTTTGTGTTTTATTCTTATTGTCTTAAAAGCCTAAATATCTTAGGTTTCTTTACTTCATCAAACAGCTACGTGAAGAATATATAATGCCACCCGCGACATATAGTTTTATTTATCGTCCCTCCCCTTATTGTTGGCGTTTAGTATCTTACTTATTTCCCTTCCCTCCTCGTCTTGTTTGATTAAAACCAATTACCTTCCAACAAGCAACTGCACACAACATGTAATAGATTTAGGTAACAATTTGAGTACTGTTTCATTTTTACAATACTAACATTTGAGGTTCGAATCCCCGCAGTGGATAGAAGCTATATAGCCCACCCGTTTTTGTAGCTTCGCGCTAACAATAAACTCTAGCTACTCAGAGTGTAGTTTTATTTGTTCTGTAGGTGCGATGGTATTTGTTTTAACCTACTTGTTTAGAACTTATAATGTATGTATATTAGATACATACAATTTCATAACATCATTAATTCAGTACGAATGGTGTAGAACGCCTAAACGAACAAAGCATAATGCTTACCTTAGTAATGTATGTGGCATTACTTCACAGTGAGACTTATCCTAATTTGAATCACATTCTTATTCATTGTCCCAGGTCAGGTTTCCAATAAAAAGTATAAAAACTATACTTTGTCTACATGCAAAGTTTTAGTGAAAACACTTACTGAGTCAGTAAAAAATATGGCAATAAAATTACCAGCAGTTTTATTGTGATACGTAGAATGTTTCCTTATTGAATAACAAGAGGAATGAACACGGAAAGATAACGTGTAATAATATAAAAACAAAAACAAATGATATATATATATTTGTGAAATTCAAATAAAGTAAAATATGCAATTAATTTACGCTAACATGGCCAGAATGATCAACATATTTCAAACTTTAACTGCTACATACTTTGAGATTACATTTGTAAACCTATATTTTTTTATCAACCAATTAAGGCATCTTTACATGAGTGAGATCTGAATTTTATATTTGCGATATACATATTAAGCCATACCGCTTTGGTATCAAGTAAATCTTTCTATCTGTGAACGAATCTCTTAAACGAGTTGACTGATCCAGACAAAACTTGGCATGCTAATTTAATAGTCCAAATACAAACCAAGTTCATATTAAACTTACTTATACATTCAAAAATAAAAACATTTTATAAAATAGCCCATATATCGCTACTGCATTAGCTACTGTAAGTAGTAGAGTTCAAACAAAATTCACATCACAACATTCTACAAGATAAAGATTGTAAATGAAATATTCATCATTTTGGCTTATTTTCCATAATAACCAAAATATACAATAATAAAACATCCAGCTATAATGCGGAGAATAAAGATAGTGCTGCTGTTTAAATTTCCAGCTCTTTTCTGATTCACATCATTTTACTCCCGATTTATACTAGGGTTAAAATAAGCACTTAAGCATTAATTAGAGAAGTATTTATAATTAACATTTTTAGGATGTTACTTACTTCTTGATGTAGAATATAGTTTTCCGTAGAAACAAAATTAAAGATTATTATTAAATTTAATGCATTAAATGTACCCAATTCAGACAGTAGAAATCTTGACCACATCTCTACTGTAAAATGGGCTGCTTTAAACAAGAAGTGACGCAACTGCTGTGCCATTTCTGCCAAGTTTCTCGACGTCCACACCTCCTCACTTCTGATTCACTTCTCCTGCCTTACAATAATTTTATTGGAGAATGAAAGCTACTGAAAATCCTCGAAGAGATTCTTCTCATAATTAACAAATTTGTGTGTGTTTTCCGCGTTTTTAAGAGAAGAAAAACGGAGGAGTAAAATAACCCGCAAAACTTTTAGTTTAAGACATATAGTGCGTTATGAGCCAAGAGTTCACTTTTATCTGTAGACTTTCATCGGATCTGTTAGGCTTTCATGAAGGGCAGAGCTGGGTATGCAATTTGCCTATAAAAAGATTAGTCAAATTGCACATTTACTTGATTTAGTAATGATTATTTTAAAGTTATGACATTACAAACGATTATGTTATTATTTACTTTTGGTCACCATCAAAACTTTATCATTACAAAATACTTAATATATTGATTGTGTGGAATAATTGTATTATTGCAACATTAACATTTTTCAGCTATGAAAAAAACTTTATTTTATGTTGGTTTTCATTGTTTGTGTTGTTGTTTTTTTTAGCTAACGAACAGCGGGTCAGTTCTGGAAATAAGGATTATAAACGATGTTGACCACCTTATATTGATTTTACCTGCTACACTCATTATTAAACATTACTGATAAGAGCTTTCTTAAGTGAATTGAATTGTGTTAATCTGAGTATAAACCTTTTCAATACAGTATTTGATTAAAATATGACATACACTACTCCAATAATATCTATAACGTGTATTTCAGAATAAGGTCTAAAGGTTGCATATTTTGTTTATTGTAGTTCACTTTGGCTTCATCCTTTTCGAAATGATCCTAAGCATATTTTGGACTGTTTGTGGATTTTCACTTCTGTATGGATATTTGGTAAGCCTTTATGCAGATAATCTGTTTGAATATACTTGGCCACAAAAGTTTCTTTTTTATTTAATATAAAAACTATAATAATGAACCTCAGGAAAAAAAAAAGACTTGCTATATCATGCTGCATTACTTATGGTTTTATTAGTTAATGGACACACAAGGTTTTAATGATAAACATGCCAACGAGAGAAAAAGTATTTCCCTTCATCCATAGTACAAGTTTTCATGATCTTCTAAAATGAAAGTTAATAAGATTATTATTTTTTATTGAAGTAAACATCTTCGGATTTCATAAGGATTATTTTTTGGTGTTAATGAACAAGCTAACATAATATAATTTTAAACAGAACTGTAGTATATAAGTACCTCAGTGAAAGGACTTTGAGAAAACAAGCATTTGCTATATAGTTATTGCTTTTGGATTGAAAAACAATTTCCTTACATTTATCATTTGAACATTAACTCTAATAATGTTTTAAAAATAAGAGAAATATACTGCATGCACATGCGTGACTATAATGAAATATATAAATAATTTTGACCTGGCAATACGTACTGTAAACAGATTCGAACAAAATGTCGACTAGAAGTCGTAAAAACATTTAATTTCAGGTTAGAGGAGCACACTTCGACAGGTGCGCTATAAAAGGTTATATTACCTCTCGGTGGCTTAGCGGCAATCTGAGGGCTTATAACACTAAAAATCGGGTTTCAATACACAAGTTTGGCAGACCTCAGATAGTCCATTGTGTAGCTTTGCGCTTAGCAACAAACAAAACGGAAGGTTATCTAATAGTAACTTAGCTTTTTAATATCAGTAAATTCAAACCATTATACTATAGTAAAGTTAAAAGTTGGATTTATAATAAAAATATTAACTCACTAAGAAACATTTGTAGTGTGGCTGACATATAATTACACATTCTTCTTTGCTTTAACTTATAAGTTTTAAAATTCTCAAAACAACGAGACTTATGACTGTTTTACTTACTGAAACAATGAAACAGACACGACTATTTTAGCTACTAAAACATGGAAGCATATAGAACAGTTCTACTCGTTAAAACATGGAATTAGGCAGAACAGTTCTACTTGTTAAAACATGGAAGCTGGCAGAAATGTTCTACCTGTTAAAATTTTGAAACGGGCAGATCTGTTCTACTTGTTAAAACCTTGAAACAGGCAGATCTGCTCTACTTGTTAAAACCTTGAAACAGGCAGATCTGTTCTACTTGTTAAAAGATGGAGCTAGGACCAATCCTGTGAATCAATAATTTTCTCGTAAGTGGTAGTTAATGCTGCTACGTCTGTATTGAAGCATCGAGATCATACATGTAATTCTGAAATATCATATGAGATTAGCAAAACCGAATAATGTTTATACAAAAATTTCGTCAATATTGATATAGAACACTCGAAACGAGTTTTGTGAGTATCAGAACAGTCGAAAGAAATTGAAAAACAATTAAATGAACAGAGTTTGAGCCAATGTTAATTGAAATTTACTTGACTCTTAAAAGTCGTCCACGTTTCTGGTACGATTTACTCTAGTCTTTTCCCTATAGTTCAGTGTGTTACAAAATTGTCCAATGCTTAATTTAAAGTATACAGATCTGACTGTAGTTTAAGCCAAATCTTGTAAATATGTCGGTAAAGTGAACTCTGTATTAAGAAACTTATGGCAAAACAACTTTGTATATCATTTTATTTCATTTGAAAGAAACCAGCAATACTGACCTCCTTCTCAGGCGAGTGTGCGAAGTTTTGGTATTTCGTCTATCAGTGTAATATATCTTATGAATAACAGAGCACATGCAAGCAGCTTACAACAGGACAAGCAGAACAATGTAAACGATGAAGTCTTCTTCAGTGGGAGAAATGCTCCTCAACATAGCAAATCTTTCCCTTACGTTAGGAGACATATTGTATGTGTTTACAGTTAATATGGGAGAAATGCTCCTCAAGATAGCAAATCTTTCCCATATGTTAGGAGACATATTGTATGTGTTTACAGTTCATGTTTACTTCGAAGACATTCATTGAATAAATCGGAAAAATAATTTTGTTAGTTAGTTAATATGTTTGTTTGTAGTTAAACACAAAACTACACAATGGGCTATCTGTGCTGTGTCCTCAACGATTATCGAAACCCGAATTTTAGCATTGTTACTCCGTAAACTTAGCGCTTTCCCACCGGGTGACAATTTTTTGGTAGATAATACGTTTATGATTTCATACTACGCCAAGTATTGTAATAATTTTAATAAAATCATTATTTTCTGGCCAAACAGATCATGTTTTATCTGTCTAGACGTTGATCTTTGAACTTCTTGTTATCCTATCGACACTAACGTTAGTGGATCTTCACTGAGATCAAACTATGGTTGTTGGTTTCCTATTGTTTGGGTGTTTTACTTTGTCTCACAGTTTCCACCTAATGTGATGTAACTAGATTTGACCGACGAGATTAGAAATTGTTTTCGCGTATGTATATCTTTAAGTAACAGAAAACAAAACAAAAAAGAGCAACTATTACTTAGGTTCACAGTTGATGATAAATTCAAAATGGTAATGAGCCACAAGTAAAATATATGATAATAATAATCATTTCACTACATTTGAAAATAACTAATAAGACAAAATTTGCATTAGGATCGTGTTCAAGTGTTTAGCATCTATTAAATATCTTTGTTTAAGAGCCATAACTCGGGTTAAAGGTTTACAGTTTATATGAATGATATAATGCAGTAGTGAGTCGTGATGCCGGGGCGACAAGTTTAGTATTTGCATATTTCTAGCTCACTTTTAACCATTCGACAGCGCAGTGCCGTACGTATAGATTTGTGAAAAAGGAATACAAATACAGTTTATATAAATGATATAATGCAGTAGTGAGTCGTGATGCCGGAGCAACAAGTTTAGTATTTGCATATTTTTAGCTCACTTTTAACCATTCGACAGCGCAGTGCCGTACGTATAGACTTGTGAAAAAGGAATACAAATACAGTTTATATAAATGATATAATGCAGTAGTGAGTCGTGATGCCGGGGCGACAAGTTTAGTATTTGCATATTTCTAGCTCACTTTTAACCATTCGACAGCGCAGTGCCATACGTATAGACTTGTGAAAAAGGAATACAAATTCATATAGGGAAATGGTTAAATGATGAACAGACAACGGACACAATATTTCGAAGACAGAAGTCTTAAATGTTCTTCATGAGAGGTGAAAAATTTGCTCAATAGAGTGTTTAGGACAGCAACGGATTTCGAAATCACGCCCCTAGTCAATCGGGAGCAACGCCGTATCTGCTAAATGAAGGCTACAGTCATGAAAGAGAACAAAATGCCATTACGGTGAAATTCGGAGTATTCCATTTTACCGTTAATGAAATAAATAGTACCCCAATAAATGTTAGTACAAATGAGACATCACTTTGAACATTCTTTTTTCTGAATATATGTATTTATTTACAAACTAGTTTGACATTTTCATAAAAAGACCTCTACTGGATTGTTTGCTAATTTTGAAGTTTTGTTTTTGAATTCTTCAAGTATAATTTACAAAGTTCTAGCTTCCAGGACCTCTCATCAATTGAGATATTCGTTTTTTTCATCAAGATTTCACTCTGATCAGATAGGACTTCCAAAACTGACTATACTCTGGCATTTAAAATATTCGGAGGACTCACAATAAACTCCTGTCGTCACATTTAAGAAATATACCGTAACTTTGAACAGGTTTGTTAAAATACATCACCGAGCATGAAAGAATCAAACTATGAAGTTTACCGATGCTTCGACTCGCATGTTAACCAATATTTTTCCTTACTAACAGGATGAAATTTATAAATTGCAAAGGCCACAAAATGCAATTTGTATAGGTGATAACAACCTTTGTTTTCAATGAAAAATATTTATTAAAAATATATGAAAATACCAATAACAAGCGCACCTCCGGCGTCTTTCAGAGTGGGAGTTTTTTTTTGTAGGAAAGCAATGAATTGTGTAAACGTATAATAACTGCACGTCTTGAAAGAGTTTGAAGTCGAAGTAGTTCTATAATGTATTATGATATACAGATGAGAAATTGTATAGTAGAAACTTTCTGGTTCTGACATAAGCAGAACTGAAATATCTAATCATTTTGTGATAATAAAAATACATTAAACTTAATGAAATAATAGAATCCATCATGAAAAGTCAGGGTTTATTTTTGGATAAAACTCTGCACGATAACGTCAGGTTATAAAAACTCCAGATTGTCGGAGTTAAATGATACACCAAAGGGCGTCTCCACTATGTTTAGAGTAACTTATTACATGCTTTTTCACCCCGTCCACTTGTCACTTAGAATACATAAATTCTAACATTTTTACTATTATCCATCAGTGAATATGAAAGCCATTTGATATTTTGTTCACAAACAAGCTAAAGAATTTGTATTTTTAGAACCAGTATATTAGTGAAGTAGAAGTAAGGCGAACTCTATTTTGAAAACGTGCACATCTTGATAACCTTTTACGTTTCGAATCAGAAGAATTAATTTCAATTCAAACTTTTTATCAACCAATAATTATATGACATCGCATGCTTTAAAATAAAATGTGTAATAACATCATGTGTCTGACACTAAGGGCAAGAACTTAAAGAACAATAACACTAGTTATGCCCAGAAATACATATTATATATTTCTTTTAGTACGATATTATTATTTACAACGAATAAACTACTGAAACAATGTTAAATCTGGGTGTTGTTTAAAAAAGGAATTTGTTAAATATGATTACTGTTCTTTAATTTCGAAACACTTTTCAAAAAAGTATTTCAAAGTTGCATTGTAATGCCTTTGGTCCTTAAACTTAAAAAAAAAAAGTCATATGATATCAGATTAATTAATAATCCTAAACTGTACACTCAGTATTGTTTGAAACTATTGCAGAAAAATACAAATAAATTACTTCTGCAAGTTTTGGGTTCGGTCACTCAAACAATAAAAGGAATTGTCTTGCTACAGAAAGAGGCCAATTGTTACGTACTGTTACAAAAGAAGACCAATTATTATTTCTTTGTGGTATGCCCATTTTGTTTTCTACCAGCATGTACATATGAATATTTTACACTTTGTATGCATGATAATTTCTTTGATAGTTAAAACTGTAAACATTGTTGTTTTATTGTGGTTTCAGAAGAAAAAGATTATCTTTGTAATTCCGTGGATCATGACGACTTTTATTGTTATTCTGTACGATATTTCTACATCTATCTTCTACCTGAACTTACTCGTGGTAAGTTTACACCATATTTCTTAAAAATATTATCTAGATTTAATAAAAAGCATAGGATTTAAGTCTAAAACTTAGGATTCCTAAAATTCTAATGTTCAGGTAAGTGGAATTGTTGTAAATGTTTTGGCTAGTGTTGCATGATCTTTACATTTTTGAAACTATACGAAACTTCAGGTTCTTTCTTAGATCATTACACTGATATATGAAGAACACAGTTACATAAATAGACAGAAGATTACAGTTCACTGAAAATTTGAAAACACCAGTTCCTCTGGCAGTAGTCTCAACAAACATAAATTCTCTTGGCAGTGGACTCAGTAAACATCAATTAACTTTGATAGTGGGTTCACTAGACATCAGTTCCTCCGATAGAGGGCTCACTGAACATCAATTTCCTCAGCAGTAGACCTACTTACCGTTAGTTCTCTTAGCATAAGGTTCATCAGATATTAGTGCAATGAGTTAGAAACTCAGTACGCATTAGTTCGTATTACGGTAGTTCACCTTGCAATAGGCTCACTGGATATAACTTCAACTGACAGGGTTTTATTCTCCATGTAAGATCGAGACAGCTTAGTCTGCTATGTGTTCATTAGCCGGATCAAGTGATATGTCTACTTCCATCCATATCTTGTTTGGGTCCTTTTTTTTTCAAGTTCATTAGCCAGTCCTACATAGCTTTTTTATTTAGCGATATTTTTTCTATACTTATTCGTTTACTGTTTTTTATAAGATAGTGTACGTGGGTTACTAGGTTAAAGTGTGTATTCTCAAGCTTTATAAATTTTGCATATAATTATAATAATAAAATAGGTAGTCAATAATCCTGAAGACTGTTTTGCTCGATGAAATAACGATAAAACAGTAGTTATTGATAGAACTAGGTAGAGGCTAGGCCTGTTGAAGAAAAATGATGATGATGAACAAAAATAAGAAATCTGCTTTTGGATATTCGCCTGTTTTCGACGTTGGGACTCTGTGGATAGCTGAAAAGAGGCATATACACTGGAGACAGAGCGACTATGCTAGGTAGGTCTTCATACATAGCTTCTGATGACCTATAGAGAACAAAATCCACATGACTTTTGTATTGCTTTAATACGAGCGTCCGCGTCAATCCTCAATAGACTGTACTAGCGCGCACTCCGATACTCTGTAACACTCTTTAGTTCCTTCTTCACAACTTATCCTTTACAATACTCTCTATATATATCTTTCACAACTTATTCCTTGTAACACTATTTCCTTTATAACCAACAACGGGACACAAACCATTAATTCTCCCCCGGGGGGGGGGGTAAAGGTGAAAGTAAATACAGTTTTTTAGAAAAGCGCCTTTTGAAGGCAATTAGAAACTATGATGGTTAGAAGACATGCTCCTCTGGAAAATGTCCACAATCAGAGCGGCGACTTGGACTTAAATGATAGAAATACGGGGAGTAAAACAAAAACGAAATCAATGTGAGAATTCAGCGGTTTAATAAACAACTTATAAATATTATTATATTTTCTTCATTACCCATTCAAGCCGTCTCCAGCCATTATTAAACAACTTATATGATCCTTTTTTATTTTTTACCTGAATCTCTTTTTTTTTCAACTCTATATTCAGCTGCTAAATTAATTTCAGAATATTTATCTATTTATAGTGAGTCATTATTTTGGACCAAAATCGTAACGTTATCTAAGTTTATGGGAGAGGGTGTTCCAAAGTGCATGCTGCCCTTCCTGTATCGGAGATGACCTCATTCCAACGCCACCGTATAAACATATTTGCTATTTCTAACGTATTTTGTTTATTTATCTATAAACATAGATGTTTCAAAATTGAAAAAAAAAAAACGACTCAGCTCAAGCCTCGTTAATGCCAATTATATTAATACAAGCTTCTACATATTGCTGGGGACAAGCATAATCTCATTTACAGACTTATTGTTTTATATTGCTGCCATTTTGTAAGAACAGTTAGAACCTGGCGAGTACAAATCACTTAGACCCCATAAGTTGCCACTGAACTCACTTAATACGTGTAAAGATTTTATAAGTACGCCCAAAATCCGTACGATCAGATATTCAAAAATAACCACACAAAATCTCGTTTGTGGTCACCAAATGATTTGAAGTGGATTTGTCTTTAGAAACATGCACGATAAAGTACATGTTCATCTAGAAGCACAATTTCCCCTCTTCAGAAACAGAGATAATAATTATCAAAGTTCTTCTTTCACAATATTAATGATACATTTCTTAATGCCTGTTATCACATCAGCAGAACAGTGACCAAACTTCATTCTCTTAAAAAACTACAACAAACAAACAGATAGACATTCATTAGGAAGAAAAATTAAAATGTCATTCCTAAGAACCAGAGTTTTATATATATAAAGAATAGATTAAAATACCATATGACTTAGAGTTAGTCATTGTTTGCATATTGATGATTTCAAAATCAAATACAGCGGGTAATTATATTGAATACCACACTTAACTGATCTAACTTTGCATTTGTTTCAAAGGTAAAAGATAAAAATGGGCAAACGCCATTTTGTTATTATCTCTAAGGTTGTCGCGTTCTATTTTAAATTAATAAATATCATAGGTAGTTCTGTTTTGTATTTAGATAAATAACTATTATCTTATTTATAGGGTTCTTTGAAGAAAGAAACAGAAGACAGTTCCGTCGAAACAATATCGAACAACAGCGCCCTCTTCTTTCTAATATTAGGCTTCTCCCGTTTTGGAATAATTTTTTTGTGCATCAATGTAAGCGTATTTTACGAATTAGTAAACTAAATGATGGATCTAGTTTTATTCATTCTAAAGAGAGCCAGTAAGCACTCTGATGATAGGCATGTTTCAGATTCTAACAATGACCAAGATCCACAGTTTTCTTGGTATCTTCATGATATTTTTGTTGTAACTGTTTCCGTATGTTTTTTCAACCAGTTTCATATCAACTCAAACATTATGACGGAAATGGTTATAATGAGTAAAAGTGGCGTGAATACGAGATCAACAACCATTCTGTGTTGTATTTAATGAATACAACGAGACACCAGTGATCTAGGTGGTGACTGTAAAATTGTATGCGCCTCTACGTTTTAATTTTAATAATTGATTATTTTATGAAGGCCTTAATGATCTGGAGAACACCAAAGAGTCAAACACTGAAACGTGGTGCTGCTCTTTCTTGTAGTGAGAATTCTTGTTGTTATAATTATTTTATGTCGGTGATTTTTTCCCTGCAATAAAATCTGGTGTTTACCTGAGTGGGATCTTCAGAAACTATTTCAATTAATAAAATGCTAAACTTTATTCCAGAGAAAAAATCACTGAGATGGAATTAAATGGAATCTCCAGAAATGATTTCAATCTATTATATGTCAGTGATTTTTTTATCTACGTTTCGCTATGTGAGCTGTCCAGAAATGATTTCAATCTATTATATGTCAGTGTATTTTTTTCTTCACGTTTCGCTATGTGAGCTGTCCAGAAATGATTTCAATCTATTATATGTCGGTGATTTTTTCTCTACGTTTCGCTAAGTGAGCTGTCCAGAAATGATTTCAATCTATTATATGTCGGTGATTTTTTTTCTACGTTTCGCTATGTGAGCTGTCCAGAAATGATTTCAACAAAATTGTTTACATATAAAATGTATTAATACTCTTTTCGGACACCTTTCAGAAGCTTTGAAAAGAAAACGCTTAAAACGAAATCATTCACAAGTTTCAAAATCAGCACATTAAACTTTGCGTAACTAATATATAAATAACTAAGCTTATTTTTCTTTGATTTGGATGTTACTTGCATGTTTCATATAAACAGTGAAGAGAGTCAAATGCTGGAGGAACTGAAATATGATTATAGTATTTTGTTTTCAGGTGACTCTTTTCTATTTCGTGATCAGGAGCACCAGGGAATATCGGAAAATCAAAAATGAGGATTTATTGGTTAGTACATAATACTGTTATTGTATGAATTTCTGTATCGTTCAAGTACTCTTAACTAAAAATAAAAAGAACAGCCAACAAAGCAAAGAGAGTATATCATATTAACCGATGAATACGTCAATTTCACGGCTTGTGTGCAAACTAAAACCAGTATAAAATCATTTTTCTCATTGTATATTTATCGGAATAAAATCCAAAACTGGTAGTTTGAATTGCAAAATGATTTTGATAGCCAATAAAGTATAATTTAAACAAAAACGATAGGTAGGAGATATCTCAACCCGTCTTTTCGATGTAGAACTATAGTTTTGAAATTGATTAGTAATGAAAAAAGCAACAATTCAAAACAGATCCAAATCCCGTATTATTACGATACACTCTGGTTCTCAGGTGAGGTGAGGTCATACGAATGCTTAGTCTTAATAAAAGTAAAGAAAACGAATTAAAATTATATAAATATTTTTAATCAAGTACAGCTGTTCTGTAAAGTTTCGCCACGGGAAAAACAAAAGGAAAGGGAGAAAATAATAAAATATAAATTTTTTTTAGAAATATCTTTATTTAACCTTAATTAAAATAAAGTTTAAATTTTAAACATATTTCTGTCCTTCTGTCTCTCTAGATACTGATGGATGGAATACTGTTATCAAATACTGTATTTATACGGTGATTTTTTTTATTCCTAAAACGATTCTAAAATGTATTTTTATCTTTTTCTTCTTCTTCTCGCAGGATAGTACTACTGAACCTGACTTGCGCTCTCAGTTTCAACTGGATGAAAGATGTAGTCCCCCCAGAATTCCAAGATGGCCGAGAGAGGACAATATTCGACAGCCTCAGTTTCAACCAGATGAAAGATGTAGTCCCCCCAGAATTCCAAGATGGCCGAGAGAGGACAATATTCGACAGCCTCAGTTTCAACCGGATGAAAGATGTAGTCCCCCCAGAATTCCAAGATGGCCGAGAGAGGACAATATTCCACAGCTCTCTTCATCTGCTCACAACTTACCACATTCTTCTAGGGAATCTTCTACAAGAGATCTAGGCTATATAGAAAGGTATTATGATGATGATGCGTCGAGATCAGCTCAAGAAAGACCAAGACCACACACTAACATGTTACCCCGTGGGAGACTAGAACCTAGCACTAACATGTTACCCCGTGGGAGACTAGAACATAACACTAACATGTTACCCCGTGAGAGACTAGAACCTAACACTAACATGTTACCCCGTGGGAGACTGGAACCTAACACTAACATGTTACCCCGTGGAAGTCTGGAACATAACACTAACATGTTACCCCATAGGAGACTAGAACCTAACACTAACATGTTACCCCGTGGAAGTCTAGAACCAGAAACTGGCATGTTTCCCCGTAAGTATTCATATTTGTTTTGTTAAATAAAAACAAATTCATTTTTTCATTTATACGATCATTTATATATATATATATATATATGTACACACATTTTATACAAAGATAGTAACTTACTCTTAATGAAACATAACACAAACTCAAAATGTTTATTTAAAATATACACAAGATAGATTATTATATGCCGGAGGTTGAAAAATCAGGCTGTGAAATAGTTGTAAGTTGATGAAAGTAACCTGAACAAAATTATTCACATTGAAGTTTCAGCTAAACAGTACAGTACGAAAAGAACGAAAACAGTAAGCCGACAGATTAAGGTTTTTTTCAACGAACACTATATTTCAGACAATTTTGGGCAAGTTTAGGAAGAAATATTAAAATCGAATTTGGTTGTCTCACACAGGTTTTTCTTGTTTGTTTTTGCTTTTCAGTACAGCTTACTCTAATGCATGATTACACTTAAGTTTCACTAATTATGAAGCTCTTATTGAATTTTTGTTGCTAAATACAACAAAGAAATGATGTTTTCATGCTAGACGTACAATTTGAATTTCTCATAATACAATGTTGTCAAGCTTGACATCGTATGTACATCCGTTGTATTTGTCTTATTACACACCTGTTTTTTATGTTGGTGTTGTTGGTTTTCAGTGGAAAGCTACACAATGAGCTACCCCGTTCTGTCCACCGTGGGGAATCGAACCCAAGATTAGAAAGTTGTAAGTCTGGAGGACTTACCACTGACCCACTTGGGGGATTAAAATTAGTACAGATTGATCAATTGGTTATTTTAATTATTAGTCAGCTGTAGTAAATGAAATTAGGCTTAAGTTTGAAAGTAACGTACTATCAGTAATACAGAGCCTCGATTTCTAAGTCAATGGATGTGCGTGGCCTAGTGGCTGGAGTACCAGACTATATATCTGTGGATCCACGTTTGCGTCCCCCGCGAAAAAAGTGGCGCTTCACACTGTGGAGCTGTGGGTGTGTTAGAGTGTGATACTCAAATCCCACCAGTTCATCAGATAAGAGTAGCCTAAGGGTTAGCGGTGGGTGCTGTTGACTAGCTGCCTTTTCTCTAGTCGATCAGTTTAAAATTAGGGACGGCTAGCACTTGTAAATGAGACTACAGTAAGACTCTTCCACACATACATGCTTGTTTATTCACAAATAGTTTTTTTTAGTGAGATAATCAGTTCAAGCAATTTATTTCTTTTTGTTTTATTTCTGTGTTATGCAGGAAACGTGATCAATTTCTACTTTTTTCACTAAATGTCTCCAAGTTTGGGGAATTATTATTATTTTTCTGCGAAATTACACTTAAAATGATTATTCATAGTTTGTAATTGTGTTAAAGCTATAAATCAGTGAGATACCTTTTTAAATTTAAACGCTGTTTGTTTAGATGTTAAACTCCAAGTTAAAATATTATTGGTACGTCTCTTTACAGGAATTCCACGTGCCTCGAGGGTTTACTAAGGAATTTGAATTGTGTACTGTTCGCAAAAGGATGTTTTCTTTTTCTTCTTGCAAGCTCTACGTCACTTATGATGTAATGATTGCCATTAGTTTGAGAGGTTGCTCAGAAAAGTGATAAAATTTATACTTTCATTAGTAATCACTTCTTAATAATAATAAAAAAACAGTAATATAGCTTCAACTGTTGTTTAAATCGATAGACTTCACTTATCCGAAGCATTTAGTATTTTTTTTACCATTTCATTGATTTTTGACGTTATAGCGTATATGAAAAAGATGTACTACTATGACCAACAATAATCAATGAAATACACATACATTCACAAAACATCTAGCCAAATTTAGATAAATTATTTACATACAAAAAAATATCAGCGAACGGATGCACAATATCTTCTATGCTACATCTCAATATTACAATATGACCCAAAATATTGTTAGTATCAAACGCACCCAACTCACGAAACAATACAGTCTAAACTTTATAAGTTAGAATGTAAGATAATTATTTTTAATTAGCTATTCATTCTGCCATGTCGATATTAAGTTTTTTTCCTTGAAAGGGGGCCGAAGGCCGCTTGAAGAGGGTCACCTGTTTTAATCACTTGCACCTCTATACAGTAGTGTGTTGTCTATCAGTTAGTCAGTAGACACTAAAATGACGTCACATAAGGGACGCTTAACGTTGCAATTTCTACTATCGTGACGTCAGTAAAACATGCGCCTGCCATGAATCACGAGAAGAATTATGCACTCTGAAGGCTACAACAGAGCATGACATATGAACTTTAAA